AAGATAAGCTCCAAACGTAATGAGATAGGCTGAAAGGCTATTTATTATAAGAAAAATGACAAATTTTATCATTTCCCTGATCTAGTAAAGGTAAAAACTTTGCAGAAAGGCTACATATTGAAGGGGGGAAAAAGTGGTCCAATAAGGTCTATCTGTATAGTCAAGATTAAAGAAATAAAAAGAAGAGTCTGGGATAGACAGCACACTTTTCAGGTACCAAATCTGCCTTATCACACTCTGAATACATAGGTAGCTAGTGCCAACTATTCCGAGTAGACTATTGATTTGCCACATTGGAACAGATGCAGCCCTATTACTAGCTGAAGCAGAGAATGTGATCTAAGACAAGTGACAATATCAACAAGGGGGGAGGCAAGCTAGGTAAGGACCTGGAAATCCCAAAGGCACTGATTAGAGTGAAGAAAGAGTTTTTTGTTGTTGCCATTTTTTGCTGTTGTTTTCCAGGATACAAGTAAAAAAACAAGGCTCTGTTCCTTTGGCAGGATTCCTAGTTGGAATGCTCTCCAGAGAGGGTTCATTATTTGAACTTCTATCTCAATGCCCACCTAAATATTGACAGAACTTTGCTATATAAAATTAGTATCAACTCATCCAAGGTAGACATACCCAACCAAGACAACTGAGATCTTCTAGCTGAAGATACCACAAAACAACTCAAAGTATTACATGGAAAACCATTTCTTAAAACAGGTCCTTATTTTCTAATCATAATTATTCCAGTCTGTTCCATAGAACTGCTTCTGTAAATGCTTTTTTTAATGTATCAAAGAGATTCTTTTTCCAATAGTTAATAGAGTCAAATCTATTCCAAGTTAGGAGTTCTTGTATGTCTTACTAAGCAAACACTATGATTCTATCTTCTTGTTCTCTAGAAATCCATCAGATGTATGTTCCAACACAGAAGTGCTTTCTTTCCTTCTCATGGTAGCAAAAAGCATATCCATCATTCCCAAAGTTTCTAGTAGTTCTTTTTGGTAATCAATCTCTTTTTCTACAAGTCCTTGAAGTACCAAAAACTTTTTATCAACTACAGGGGACTGACCAATCACAGGCAGATATATATCTAAAAAGAGAGAAAGAAAACACATTAACTAGAAACATCTTTCTATGCAATAGTTTAAAAAAGTATAAAAATATTCAATATAAGCTGGGTGTGGTGGCTCACATCCGTAATCCCAGCACTTAGGGAGGATCACTTGAGGCCAGGAGTTCGAGACCAGCCTGAGTGTGAGCAAGACCCCATCTCCACAAAAAAATAGAAAAATTGGCTGGGCGTGGTAGGGTATGCCTGTAGTCCCAAGCTATTTGGGAGGCTGAGGCAGGAGGATCACCTGAGCCCAGGAGTTTGAGATTGCAGTGA